GGAAAAACCTTTTAAATTGGCCATTGTAGGTTAGGCTAAGCTTCCTATATGCTTAGGTGGAACCTACCTATTACATTTGGCTACATTTTTGTTTGTTAAATCATGTTATATTTGTCTTGGAATTCATGCTATGTGCCAATAGATTTTTACAAGATAGAAAAACCAAGTTTATGGTGTTTTTATGCTGTTTTAATGAATAAAATGTAAGATTTTTTTAGTTATTCAAGTGTTTGATAAAATGGCTACATAGTTTACTAAGTTTTTGATAAATTGTTTTCATTTATATTGTATTGTCATACATTCTAAAACCTTAGTCCTAGGCTAAACCTTAACCTTAGCCTAAATGAAACCTTAACCTAGCTAAAACCCTGAACAAACCCTAACCCTAAACCTACTCTAAACCCAAACCTTAGTTGAAACCTACTTTAAACCCTAACCCTAATCGAAACTTTAAACCTACCTTAAAACCTAACTTAAACCGAAATCCTAAACCACTATAAATCCTAACTTTAGTCGAAATCCTAAACCCTTCTAAACACTAACCTTAGTTGAAACCATAAACCTACCCTAACCCTAAATCAAAACCCTTAACCACTTTAAACCCTAACCTAGTCAAAACCTTAAACCCCTCTAAACCCAAACCATAGCCTAAAACCTAAACATATCCTAAACCCAAACCTTAACCTTAAATCGAAACTCTAAACCACTCTAAACCTAACCCTATATGAAACTCTAATCCTCATTAAAACCTAATCTTAGTTTAAACTCTAATCTTACCCTAAACCAAAACCCTAAATTAACCTTAAACCCTAACCCTCACCAAAATCTAAACTTGCTTTAAACTTTAACATTTTTGAAATCTTAAACCTACCCTAAAACCTAACCTTAAAACTGAAACCCTAAACCTAATTTAGTCATAAACCTTAAACCTAAACCCTAAAATAGTTAAAACCCTTTTCCAAACCCTAAATTTCAACCCAAAATTTTAAACCCATATCACATTCCCATGTATTTAATAATTACACATGCATTATTAATTTTATATTGACATTCTTATATCATTTTATTTATATTTGGTATTTTATATTAGCATGCAAATGATTTATGTTTTATGTTTCATGCATTTTGCTTTATGATTTATATAATTTATTTTGTCGTATTCATGGCTTTAAAATGAAGAAAAGAAATGTTTTAGAAATAAATAAGGTAATATTCCTAGTAAAGTTAATTTTTGAAACCTGGCCTAAATATAGGGACAATTCTTAATAATTGTCTTTAGAAATAAAATTATCTTTGTTTTGATGGATTATTATGGAAACCCCAAAGTAAATGAATGTTTTAAAAAAATTTTGCTTAAATATAGAGGAGTTTAAAAAATGTTTCGATACCAAAGATTTTCATTTTAATCCAAAAAATGATTTGCATTTTTAAAATAAAAAATAATAAAAATGAGATTTTGTGAAAATAATGAAATTTAAGGATTTATCTTTAAATATTAAAAATAAGATATTTTCTCAAGATTCAAAGATAACATGCAATTAATTGGTATCATTTTTTTTAAATAGACATTGTGAGGTGCCAATCCTTTTCTATGTATAACCGAACTCTCAAACCCATATCTAATTTCAAAAACCAAAACAATCTTTTGATAATCCTAAAACTCGTTATTAGGTTTTATTAAAAGATAACATTTTTTAGGTTATCAATCACATTTATATAAAAAAAAAATTTTATGGCAATTGTCGATTTTTATTTTTAGATTTTTCATCTTGCAGTTGGGTTCTTGAACCCACACATTATGACAAATGTGTACAAAATGACAACCTATTTCTTTTTTTGTCTTTAATCCCTTTTTTTATTTTTAATTTTTTTAATTTGATAAAATTTGTACAAAAAATTGATAAATAATTTTTTTTAAAAATGTCAATGCGAGTATATATGACAAAACAACCATGTATCCCATGGATTTCGATTATTTATGATCTGATTGGTCGTTTTTTTTTTTTAATTTGGCATCAGATCAAAGTTTTCTTTCAAAAATAGAGGCAAAGTCAAATACAAATTTAAGGTGTTTGTTTTGTCCGGGTATATATAAATATATGCTTTATTATTTATTTAATTTTATATTTATATATATGTATTACATTAGTAAAATTATTATTTAATACTTTAATTTAATAAATCTATATGCAATTCCTATTTGAATTTCTTTTTTGTTTTTTTCTCTTAATTTTTTGTTTTTTTTTTCTAAATTGACGTTTTAAAATTAGATAATTTTATAAGAAAATTCACTAGATTTAGGGATAAAAAACAACTCATATCCTTTCGATTTCTATTTGGCTTGAACCAAAATGTATGAGTTTTTTAAAAAAATTCAAGATTGGATTGAGACTTTTTCTTTAAAATCAAGATTAGATCAAAAGCAAGTACAGTCTTTTGTCTTACCCTAATATATTTAATTATATTTTTAATTATTTTTGTTATTTTATATTTATATTATTATATTAACAAAATTATTCTTTAATATCTTAATTCAATAAAATTACTATATTTATTATAATTAAGATATAATTCATTCATTATCATATAAATTTTACTCATTTTACTATTTGTTTGACCTTCATTTAAAGTGCCAATGAGATATCTTATGTTTCTCTTTTAAATTTTTTTAAATTTTTCTTCATTTTTATTTTTGTAATTTTTGTTTTTAGTTTAGATAAATTTATTAAAAAACTAGAGGAACTGTCCACACGGCACCATAATTTGATTTTTTTTTTCTTTTGATTTTTTTAATTACATAAATTTTGCAACAAAAGAAGCTGATGCATAGAGATGAGAAAATAATTCGTATGTGATACAATAAAAGGTGATTTTTTTCTTTTTTTTTGTTTTCATGCTTTTTATTAATATGATTTTGTTAGAAAAATAAGGCCAATGGAGATATTCAAGTGGTACTTCTATTTGACTTATTTTTTATTCTTTTATATTTAATTAGATCAAATTTACAATAAAAGATGTCTATTGATAAAAATGACAAAACAATTCATATTTGATGAGTTTTAATCTATCTCGATATGATGTGAGGTTGTTTTTTTTTTTTTAAATAGCGATCGAGTTGGTTGGAGTATGTCAAGTTTTTATAAGATATGGGATTGGCCGTCATTATGTTTAAGGTGCTTTGTCTCGACTTGTTTCGTGGTATATATAAAAAATATATTTTATTATTAATTTAATTATATATATATTATATTAATAAAGTTATTATTTGATATTTTAATGTAACAAATTAATATTTTAATATCAATGAAACGTTTTATGGGCTCTTTTTTCATTTTTCGTTTTAATTTTTTTCTTTTTTTCTACTTTTTTTATTTCTTATATTTTTATTAGATAAAGTTTATGAGAATAAAAAGTCAATTTAAGTATCCAAGTGCGACTCCTATTTATTTTTTTTTTAACTTTCATCTCTTTTTTTTTAATTAGATAAATTTTATAAAAAATAATGAACAAAAAAACAACACAAAAAAATTTGACTTGCAATAACGAGTGAGTATCCACATAATAATCTTAAATCTTGTAACCTCGTTACATTAAGATAAAAATTATTGTATAATATTGATTTTATTTTATTTTTATATATTATTACAACTAATGATCTAATAAAACATCCATAGAAACTATTAATTTATCCAACTTATCTACTGTTATATTACATCTAACGATTTATATATTTGTTTAGTATTTGTTTTATATCAAATTATATCATAATTTGTGTTGTCAAATACAACTTTTATTTTTATTTTTGGCAAATTTATATAATTTTTATAAATTTTAAATAGTATATTTTCGTATTTTCATATTTTTTTTATCATTTTTATTTTTATATATTTTAGTATATCATTTATATTTAAAATTACCCAATGTATATTATATTATATAATATAATGGCGTAGAACTAGGATTTAGTATAAATATAATAGATAATAATTGTAAAATAATTATATTTTATTATTAAACCAAAATAGCGAAAGAGATCAACAAAATAGTAAAAAGATAAGAAAAAGAGTGACTCTGTAGTCTCGACTTTTCTCCTCTTCTCTGTTCCTCTATTCTCTACTGCGTCGCTTCTACTGGTACCTCACCTTTGATTTTCTCTTCTCTTAATGCCTTTTGCCTTTACATTTCTTTTATCGGAAAAATCTACTCTCGATTTCGTTTTCCCACTCTTAGATTCTTGCTTGTATCTGTGCGACAAGGGTTTTCACTTTTCAGGAATCATAATCCACTCTTTCCTATTTTACTTTTCCTTCCATCACATTACCTTCGCTCTATTTTCTAGGGTTCCAACCATTTTCAATACTCTCAATTTTTTTTTTATTTCTTGTATTTTTTTTCTTTTACTCTTTTATTTTATTCATGTCTTCAATAATGTAGGTTTATTTGATATTGCTTTAATGTGTATCAGTCATGTTTGACAATTTTGGTTACTAACGTTTCACTTACTGTTATTTGTTGGAATTTGACCTTTTTTTTTTTTTTGAGATTTTTGTTTTCCTGTCAAGTGCTCTTTTTCTTTTTTTTTTGCATTTATATGTATATTCTCTCTGAAGCTGTTGATATGCTTTTATGTTTGCTGATATTTACTTTCCTGTAATGTAGATTTTGTGGTAAAAAGTGTAAATTGGCTTGAGATTGTTGGAATTATACGTTATGGAGATGGCAAATTTACAAATGACCGGTATTCTAGAGCAAAGTGATTATTGTGGCCATCGTGACACTTTCAGTTCATGCATTTACTAGCATCATCATTGTGACACGCTTAATTTACAAATTCAGTTTCATTTGTCGGCAAACAAAAGTGAGGGCCATGTCCAAAGGCGCAAGAAATTTTGGATATAAATAACCTAGCAGTTTCCGGCATGCAAGCTCAAGAGTGAAACACACCAAGAGAACAAATAGTTACTTTCTAGAGATTACCAAATTAAATAGAGCTATCAAAAATGGCATTGGCATTGCCAAGTTTTATTGTACTCAGATCCGATGAGAAGAACGAATACCTGGGCTTCATCCATGAAAATGGGAAGTCTGATGGGTATCTGGAATTCTTTGAAACTCAGGCTGTGAGTCCATATGCAAAATTTGAAGGTGAGATAGTTGCACGAACTGGCAAGGATCACTTGGTGCACACAAGGAGCTGTCAAAACAATAAATACTGGGTACGAACCAAAAATCTTTCCACCCATGAAACCCCAAGGGAGGGCTATTGGATTGCTGCAACGGCCAACAAACCGGATGAAGACCAATTCAAGGAGTCGTGCACATTGTTCAAGCTTATCTCATAGACTCTGCAACGAATACGGTCCTAATTATTGATGTCCAATCAGGATGCTATCTATGCTTATTGCGGTGTACCAATTCGAATCCAGCACCTGGTGATCGCTGCGTGTTGGCAAACTACAAAGTTTTCAATGGCAATTCCAGTGATATTTTTACAATCATTGATTGGGAGTCATTGTTGATTTTGCCTAAGTACGTAGCATTCAGAGGAAATGACGGTTAGTATTTGTGTCTTCGTTGGATCGAAAAGCACCCATATTTGAAGTTTGCAACTGATGATATTGGTGATTCAACTGTGCCATGCAAGATTTTGTTACTCACAATGGAAACATCCGTATCAAGCCCACTTGTTCAGAAAAATTTTGAAGGCGCAGCCCAAATTGGATTTTGTGCGGATTCTAAAGACGGCGCTACCACCATTAACATCCCGGTGGACACCTTGTTTCGCCCCGTCAAAGTTGACAATCACACAATAGCAGCTATCTACTTGGGCAACAATAATTTCTGCAAGAGCCTCAGAACGGAGGGAAAGACAAATTGTCTTAATGCAGCCATCCGCTCTGTTACCAGAGATGCCCAACTAACAGTGGAAGAGCCTGTCATGACAAGACAAATTCATAATGTCAAATATAAACTTGATTATTCCAGGGTCTATGATGAAAGAACTATTGTTGCAGCTAAAAATAGTGCCAGTAACTATAGCCAGCAATCCTCCACCTTAGACGTGAAGCTTTCCTATACAGATACCAAGACTAGTACTTGGAAAACTAATTTTCCACCAAAGTTGGGAGCGAAAGCCACCTTCGATGTCAACCTGCCACTCATTGTGTAGGGGAAGATTGAATTATCCGGTGAAGTTCAGTCAGGAATTGAGTGGGGAGAGACCAAAACAATTACAACTGTAGTGGAGGTTGTACACAAAGTTGTTGTGCCTCTGATGACTAAGGTGACGGTGGATCTGATTGCAACAAATGGTAAGTGTGACGTTCCCTTCTCATTCACTCAAAGGGACACTCTTTATAATGGGACCACTGTCACAACTCAAGTGCAAGGTGGCACTTACACTGGCTCTAATTACTACAGCATCATCTTTAAAACCAAAGAAGAGAAGTTGAAGTGAACCAAAGCAATATATTGAAAACCCCACTGGGCCACAAGCGGGGACTTACAAGGACTGTGTGTGTGATATGTCACCGTAGGTGTGCCATTGTGTGCATAAATAAAATCGTGTTTCCTTTATAGAAGCAAACATATGTTTGTTTTCTTATTATTGCTTACAATTTATGTATACTTCCTGCATAGCCTAGTGGCATTATATTTCTCATGTACTTTAACGTGAGAATAAATAAATTATGTGTGGTGTGTCTTTATGTGGTTTGGAGATCAATACGTATCTATATGTATATAATGAAAGGTAATTTACTTTTGTTTACTGATATCACTAACAAAATTAAGAAAATTTACTACATTGCTGCTTATATATGGAAATGCGTTGCTTTGTTTATATATAAATAATTAAATAATGAGTTGGGATATGTGAAGGTTTGTTTTTGTTAAAAATAATTTTAAAATATGAAAATAATATGATTAAGTAAAGACTTGATCAAAAGAGAAATTATATTAAAGTATTTATTAACTTAAAGATAATGTTCCATGATCAATAGAACTAATTTTAGACTTAAAGAATCAATGAAATGCGATGTATCATAGAAGGAGTGGGCTGCCTTAGTGACTGCTAGGTTCATGCCTAAGAGGCAGTTGACTACCTATGATAAAAGAGTATACTTCTATGCATTCCAGAAAGATACCAAAGTCTAGATATAAAACTTAACAAAAGAGCAATTGACTATCTACCCTAAGCAATCGATTGCTATAGCTAGAATCAATTGCTTTCAATTTTGAGTGTTCTAGAATTGAGAAAAGTTAATTGCCTACTTCATGGAACGTTCTAGGAATAGAAAATACAAAGAGGCACCTGACTGTCTTTAGGGAACAATTGACTACTCTAGTTAAAATTTTGTAATTTTCTGAAATGTGAAGAATTATTTCCATTAGAATGAAAAGAGTGATCATTCAAATAAATTGATATAACTTCAATAATTCAATTTTTTTTTTCATTAAAAGAAGTGATCTTTGATTGAAACAACATAATCAAAGAGTTATAATCATAGAATATAAATTTTTTATATAGAGATTATGTAAGTTCATTTGATAAGTGATCTATTATGATCAATAGAGTTGATAATTTTCAAAAACCCTGTCTACCTTCTCCAATTATTTCTCAAATATATGGGTTACTTTCTTAGCATTGTTTTATTACTAGAAACCTTGTTAAAGACAAGGTATTTTTGTTTTTCATCAAGGAGAATTTAGTGGTTTGATTTTTTTTTTTGCAAGGTAAATCAAACATATGCTTTATCGTATCTTAGAAGCTATTCGATATAATTCCTTTTGCATATTATTATTGGTAAGTACAAAATAAACCTTAAGGAAAGTGGTATTTGTAGCATGCCTTGAAGTCGGTTCATATGTCCTTTGAAGGTTTCATTTTGGGTTCAACTATGACTTGAAAAGAAGACTACAACCGAAGATACAAGTGAGGATCATCAACAACTACAAATTCGTGAAATTACAAGTCTTGGAACTAACAATCTTAAGGATTATTTTCATTCATCAAGGCCAAAGTTGGAAAGGTTCAAGGCACATGAAAAGGCTAAAGTGTTCTAAAACAAGATCAATGAAACAAGATTTTAATCACTAATATGGAGAGTAAATTAGTAAATTTGCATGCTACCAAGGGATACCTCTGCATGTTTTTAAAAGATGTCTTATAATTTTTTTGAGTCAATGGATTTGAAGATACAATGATCCTATGGCCAATATTACATACTTGGTCACCAAGTTTAGTAAAAAAAAGACAAAATAGTTACTATCCATGGATACATTTTGATCCAATGGTTGTTTTTGCTCTTTAAATTGACATGCATGAGGTTGTATAGTGGATTTTTTTTCTAGAAACTAAAATCCACCATTAAAGAAAGGATCTTGAGAAGAAAAATCCCAGTAAAAAATTTTCTTTAAGTATATTTCTCCACCATTTTCATGCATTTCCATCTCCATTTTATGTAGTTTTTACTAGATTTTCTTCGTAAGTTCATATTTGATCTATCTTCCTCATCTTACCTATTCCATGGTAGTGTTTGAGAGAAGAAAAATACCATAAAGCAACAAACTGCCATCATAAATAGGGTTTGACTATAAAGCTTCCCATGTTGGCCGAACCTTTGTATTTCATTTCTTAGTATTTTTCACATTTAATATACAATATATGTGTTTTTGATGATTTAAAGTTGTGATTATCTTATTTATGTGTTTTGGTTATGTGTTTGTTTAAATTTCCATGAATAAAGTATAGTTTGTTCATTTGCATATTGTAGTTTGCTAATGTTTTATGAAAGTTTTGTTTTTGAATAAATGGTGGATATTTTGTTTGCTTAATGTATAGTTGATATGTGAGTGATGAGTATGGTGAAAAAAAGATAAAACCTATGTTAGGCCAAGCTTCCGTTATGCTTAGGTCAAACCTACTTATTATGTTTGGCTATATTTTTATTTTTTAGATCATTTTATTTTTGTCTTGAAATTTATGCTATGTGCCAATATATTTTTATAATATAGAAAAATCAAGTTTATAGTGTTTTTATGTTGTTATGATGAATAAAATATAAGGTTTTTTTAGTTATTCAAGTGTTTGATAAAATGGCTACATAGTTTACTAAGTGTTTGATAAGTTGTTTTCATTCATGTTGCATTGCCATACATTCTAAACCTTAGTCCTAGCATAAACCTTAACCTTTGTCTTAATGAAACCCTAACCTAGCTAAAAACCCTAAACTAACCCCAACCCTAACTTAACCCTAAACATACCCTAAATCCTAACCTTAGTCTAAACCTACCTTAAACCTTAACCCTAGTTGAAACTCTAAACCTACCCTAAAACCTAACCTAAATCAAATCCCTAAACCACCCATAACCAAAGCCCTAAACTTACCGTAAACCCTAACCCGAGCCAAAACCCTAAACTTGCCTTAAACCCAAACTCTATTTGAAGCTTTAAACTTATCTTAAAACCTGAACTTAAAATTGAAACCATAAACTCTAATTTAGTCATTCTCATATCATTTTATTTATATTTGGTATTTTATGTTAGCATGTATATGATTTATGTTTTATGTTTCATACATTTTGCTTTATGACACTATAACACAAAATATTTATAATGGCATATGTATTAATCTCAAAATGTCAATTATATGCCTTTACATCATTTAGAGGCAAAATGCATTTTTGTCCTTAATACTCTAGTCTCTAAATGTATATAACAACTTATTAGGTGCAAATAAATAAATGCCACTAGTTTTAAATATAAAGGTAAATTTACTTGAATTTAAAAATAGCTTATAGCAATTATTTTGTGTCTTTAATTATAACTTTTGGAGACACATACTTGTGCTTCTAATTTTAGAATTAGAAACAATTAAACTTGTTATTAAATTTGAATATTAAGATAAAAAAAATTGCCAATACTCAATTAATATAACTTTCTTAGTAACTTTTACAATTGCCTCTAAATATATTATTTTCTTTTTTTTTAATGATGGATTTACCATATAATATGTAATAAATAATTCATATAGAGTTATATTCATAAACAATTTATTTACATTAATGTACTAAAATTGAATAATAAATAACAAATTTGGTCTTTAAATTACATTACACATTATAAAAATAATACAAAAAGACAGAGTAAAAGTTTGTAAATATTGTATTTTTTGTGCTCGAATCTTTAAAAGATTACAAAATATTTATAAGAGAAAACCAATAACAACACTTCAAACAATCAAGTTCCATGATCATCTTCATTTATAGTTGGCTTCTTCACAAACTCTTTGTCCAGGTGTTACCACCATATCTAATTATCATTGTTCAAACCTAAAATGAGTATAAACAATTTTTGTTAAATAAAATTAATGAGTTTTAAAAGAAAATTTGTTATTAGCCTAACAATTTATAATAACTATTACTCAACTAAAGCTATAAGAGAAAATCAATTATTTGTCTAAGAGATTTCAAATATAACTTCCTTTGAAACCATATATAAGGACATGTAAATTAGTTTTTATTAAATAAAATTAATGAGTTTTGAAAGAAAATTTGTTATTAGCCTAGGAATTTATAATAACTATTACTCAACTAAAGCTATAAGAAAAAATCAATTATTTGTCTAAGAGACTTCAAATATAACTTCATTTGAAACCATATATAAGGACATGTAAATTAGTTTTAAAAAATCAATTATTTGCCAAAGAATCTCCAATATAGAATTTTATTAAAACTTTTTTATGTATATAGATATTTCATTTTAAAATTTGCTTTTTCCTTTCTAGTAATTTCATTATTTGTGTAATGTACAAGACTTATGTAAGGACCAAAGAAAAAACTCAATAAGGATGAACAATAATGAAGATTCTTAGTTGATGAAAAAATAATTAAAGAATCTAACCTCTTTAGCTACATCATCTAACTTGTGTCCAAGCTACTTCAAAGCTTGTATATAATCTATTGTAAGCTCTAAATCACCAATCTACATTTAGCAAGGCTTTACGTTGTATCAATTATAACAAAAAATATTTCACAAACTTTAGTTAGTAATTTTGGTTCCAAAAAGCAAATTTCATTAGCAAAAAGCAGTGAAATTTAATGTCAAACTTGTAAGTATTCTATAAAAAAATTCATAAATTAACAAGTACCATAGAAAAACCCATATAATCATTTTCAATCTGATTTAGTTAAAATGAACAATATATCTTCATTATTAGTCAATGGACCATATGCTTACCAATTTAGTCTATTCTGTTTCATTAGGTCCTAATCAAAATATCTTATAATGGGGTGTTTAGGGTTAGATTATCATTCATAGAGAAAGAAAACTAAGGGATTAAAGATTGACAGAGATGGTCTAACTACACTTGTAAATACAGTTAAAATGAATATATACTGATAAATTAGACCTAAGTTTTTGTATGTATAATTAGCATGCACTATAAAACTTACACT